CCCAGTTATTCCAAGACTTTACCTAAAACTTATAAACTCAAATACTACAATATATTAAAGCAATATCATACTTGTTAAAAAATGTCCTTTCCGAAACAGGGATGTTTCGGAAAGGACATTTATTTTAACATGACACTGCAATTAGCACAAATGTCTGTGCAAAATAATATTTTACGCGATCATGAAGCATAACATAAAGAACTAATGCAAGGTAAAGTGAAGTACAGAAGTCCTCAGAATATCTCAGAGTCAAAAACTTCATGGAGTCACATTTAATACTGAAACAGGAAAATCACAAAATATCATTGATTCCTCAAATTTTGGATATTTTCATCCATTTTTTTTTTTTTTGCAAATACATAAAAGAGCAATACTCTCTGAGTAAAACTAAGTGTTTTTTTGGAGATCAATACCTTAAATTATCATAAAAGTCACACACTTCAAGGTTTAGCTTATGAAAATTAAAAAAATGATTTTCAAAATTCAAATAATCATATCTTTATACATACACAAGGTTTTATCTTGGGATTGTCATTTCTAATCCCCTTCAGGTCTATACTTTCAAGAAAAGTACTTATTTCAACACAATAATGATTTCCATTTTTTTACCCTTGGTGGGAAAAAAAGGAGCCCAGGATTGTAAAAATGCCCATATTCAAAGACATTTCTCTGCCTATTCAATGACTGTGCTCATTTCTGTACTGGTGACAAGTTTTGCACAATCACATATCATCACCCAGATTGCTTTGATGAAAAGTAAACCACTACATGGTGCCTTTTATTTAGGTTAAAAGACAGCAGCAAACTAGTCCATGAATTTGTTCATGTTGCTTTGCAAGAAACCCCGCTGAGATAGATCAATCCTGCTAGTACAGTAGGGATAGGGGAAAGCAGTCATAGTCATGCCTCTCTTCTGATATTTCTAAAATTTTTGGATTTTAAAGCCTTTTTAATGAACTTTTGTATTTGATACATACATATCCTAAAATACAAAATGAAAAAATGATTGCTGCCAATAATCATATATTTGATTTGATTTTCTGAAAAATCCCATGGATTGTTATTTAAAAAACTATAAAAGCCGTTACACAGATTTAATATCGATTATTATTTTTCTAGCATTGGCAAATTCCTCTGGCTCGTAGATTTCGCTCCTTAAAGCTGTGGTTTGTTCTTAGGTTACATGGTGTAAATGGACTACAAGAGTACATCAGACAGGTTCTTTACATTCTATGTCATTTCTTTTTATTATGTACAGACACAGATGTGCCTGTACATATAGCCATCACCTGCGTCTGTCGTCGCTGTCGTCGCCGCCATCGCCGTGCACTTTTACCGATAACACGTAAAATGGAAAGTGTTTTTTCTTTCAGCTTGAAACTTACTGAATTGATGAATATTCATAATAAGCAGGTCAAGTTCGAAATTCAGCATGATCAGGCCATTTTTAGGGAAGTTATGCTGTTTTTTTAAACTTTTTTCAGCATATATGCAGCGCCAATAACACGATAAGTGGAAAACCATTTTACCTTTTGGCTTGAAACTTACAAAACTGATGAATATTCATAATACGCAGGTCAAAGTTGAAAATCAGCATGATTGGGCAATTTTTATGGAAATTATTCTTTTTTTTTCAAAGTTTTCAGCATTTTTATAACATGGATAATAAGATAAGTGTTAATTTTTTTTTCCTTTTGGATTGAAACTTACAGAACTGATGAATATTCATAATACGAAGGTCAAGTTGGAAAATTGGCTTGATTGGACTATTTTTACAAAAGTTATCCTGTTTTTTCCCTTATTCAGCATATATGCAACACTGATAACACATTTTAAGGAAAACCAAGCAGCCTTTTGTCTTGCAACTCACAGGAGTGATTAGTCTAACTAGTATACAGATCAAGTTTGAAAATAAGCTTGATCAGTTAAGTTTTGATGAAGTTATTAGCCTTTTTTGTATATAAGTGTTTTTTCTTTAGATTTAATTCTTAGGCATGTTGACAGTCTCATAATGGAACTAATTAGTAAAAGTGTTGTTTTGACATTTTCTGCTTCTTAACAATATTGTTAGTTGATTGTATAAAAATGACGGTAAACCTGTTATCGTGCATTGTGTAATAAAGTATCAAAAATGGAAAGGAACTCATCATTGCAGTTTGTCAGATTCAATCATTCACTATGTTCAGAATCTGCAAATGGAGCAAATTGGACATTTAAAATTGTTCTATTGATATTTTTCCTATGTCAACAATTTTCCTAGTTGATCATTTAAAAATGACAGAAAATTGATTATTTTGTTTTATGTAAAAAAAGGTGTTGAAAATGGAAAGAAAACCATTTCAGTACAGTTATCTCTTGTTTACATTTTGGCATTTTGAAAGTGTGGCTCTGAACTTCCATGGCCTTGAAGACCTTCCCATATCACATTTTCTGAATATCCATGATACTTTTATTTTTTATAAAAAAATTGATGGCCATTATGCTGTTAAGTAATATGTTATAGTGCATGAAAGTTGAAGGAAACCCTATTTTGGACACTGCTGCCAGGATAGCGATTGAGGGAAAACCATGTTACTTATGATACTCAAACTTACTGAAAAGTTTCATAAGACTGAAGTGCAGCTTGTGTTGGAAAATCTTTGTGATTGTTTTCTGTTTTGGAAGAAATGCGGTTCTTTTGAGTGCTATATGGTGCAATAAATGTATATGGATAGCGGGCAGTGTATTAATTCGGGATCATAAATTAATTAGCTTAATTAATTTTCAAGTTATTTTAGGGTTATAAAGTAATTTGCTTAATTAATTTTCAAGTGACCATTAAATGAGATTATATAAAACACACGTTGAGATTTCATTGTAAAGTCCCCTGGGTTTATCTCTCTTAACTGTGTCACATAATTAGGAATTGATGATTATTATGCAGGTAAATGTTAGTCATGTTAGTAATTACACAGCTAGATTAAAAGTTTGAATAGCAGCTTTATTGGAATTTTTTGTTATGTTTTATTTTACATTTTCTTTTAACTATTTTTCAAACACTAGCATCTTCAAGATATCACTTTCAACTTCCATCCACCAGAAGCACTGTGCATTTTCTGTTTTTCCACATTGGGAGTTGTGTTGGTTTTTATGTCTTTAAGCATTGTGTAATTATATTATTTTATTCACTGTCATCTTTTTTTCACATATTGCGATTTTCATTGTGTGAATTTGAACTCTCGCATATGGTCCTGAAACTGTAACCTTNAAAGAATGATTGCTGCCAATAATCATATATTTGATTTGATTTTCCGAAAAAATCCCATGGATTGTTATTTAAAAAACTATAAAAGCCGTTACACAGATTTAATATCGATTATTATTTTTCTAGCATTGGCAAATTCCTCTGGCTCGTAGATTTCGCTCCTTAAAGCTGTGGTTTGTTCTTAGGTTACATGGTGTAAATGGACTACAAGAGTACATCAGACAGGTTCTTTACATTCTATGTCATTCCTTTTTATTATGTACAGACACAGATGTGCGATTGAGGGAATAGCGATTGAGGGAAAACCATGTTACTTATGATACTCAAACTTACTGAAAAGTTTCATAAGACTGAAGTGCAGCTTGTGTTGGAAAATCTTTGTGATTGTTTTCTGTTTTGGAAGAAATGTGGTTCTTTTGAGTGCTATATGGTGCAATAAATGTATATGGATAGCGGGCAGTGTATTAATTCGGGATCATAAATTAATTTGCTTAATTAATTTTCAAGTTATTTTAGGGTTATAAAGTAATTTGCTTAATTAATTTTCAAGTGGCCATTAAATGAGATTATATAAAACACACGTTGAGATTTCATTGTAAAGTCCCCTGGGTTTATCTCTCTTAACTGTGTCACATAATTAGGAATCGATGATTATTATGCAGGTAAATGTTAGTCATGTTAGTAATTACACAGCTAGATTAAAAGTTTGAATAGCAGCTTTATTGGAATTTTTTGTTATGTTTTATTTTACATTTTCTTTTAACTATTTTTCAAACACTAGCATCTTCAAGATATCACTTTCAACTCCCATCCACCAGAAGCACTGTGCATTTTCTGTTTTTCCACATTGGGAGTTGTGTTGGTTTTTATGTCTTTAAGCATTGTGTAATTATATTATTTTATTCACTGTCATCTTTTTTTCAAATATTGGGATTTTCATTGTGTGAATTTGAACTCTCACATATGGTCCTGAAACTGTAACCTTATAGACCATGTTATTCTGTTGTACATTTTGTGAATTTTTTTTCTTTCACATACTGGCAATATCGGTGTGGGACTTATAACTCCAAAGGGCATGTAACAGTTCACTTTTATTGATACTACCTATTGTGCAATATTTGCAACTTGACTTTGCAGTTAAAGGGATAATAACTGTTCTTTTTGGCAAATAATTAATTTTTTTCGAAAAAGTTTTTTTTGTTATAATCTCTTAAGAAATTATTACAAAGTATAGCCATCTATGGAGGTCACATGGTCTGATGACAAGTTCAGATATCAGAATAATAGCTATGGCTGCCCTTTTTGTGATAAAACATACTTCTGTGAGTTGTTTACACTGTTTAAATGACCTAGCACAAATTACATATGTGTAAATACTGTAGCATACTTGGTATGGTCTACAAATTTTTCACTCACTTTGCTGTTCAACGCCTTTTTGTTTTATCTTCGCACACACACAAAAGTAAATAAAATTTTCATAGGTATGAAAATTACTTATTAAATTGATCCATTTCTAGATAAATCTGAGTTTAAAAGCAAACCGATCTAAACTTAGTTTATCTCATAATACAGTATGTTTTTAACATTAAGTTAATTGGTAATAAATTAAGTTTGGCCTTTAAAAGTTGATCAGTAAGTTAAACGGTCCTTAAAAAAAATTAAATCGGCGGGTGCGAAAAAACCAACAACTGCGGCTGCCAATTCCCGCCAAAACGTAAGAAACAAAACGCGGGAATTCCCTTATCGATCTCTTGAACAAAGAAGCAGCTGTTCACACAAAGGAGCAAAAAGGAAAGTAAGGCTTATGTACTGCGTAGAGGCACTTTATTCCATTAAAAGGCTCCTTAACGAAGATATAAAACACAGACGACCTGCCGGTTGTGTCAAAATTGCAGGGGTTTATTGGTAGAACTCAGAAGATCTTAGAAGACAGGGGTTATCACTTCACAGGTAAACAATAATACTAGGACTTGGTTTAAAGCCCGTAGGCCTACGCACTACTTTCTTGTATACAAATCACGGGCTAGGTTTTGGTGTAGGTGGTGCAATCGGAGTATACGCAGTAAGACATAAATGTAATATACTGAAGTTAATGTTTCGTTGAAAAGTAAGGCACCTTTCCTCACCGGTACACGTGAGTCTTTGTGTTGTGCTGCTCGAGTGTGTAGAACATTACACCATCGTTGACCTCATTCATGTGTGCCTGTGCAACCGGTGACAGTTCACATAAAGGACTGCATCGACACAGCTGCAATGTGATAAATCAGATCTACTCCAGATGTTTTGAAGGTCTCATAATATTAGCCCCGATTTTACATTGACTGGTCCTGTGTTTAAAAGCACCACAGTCGGACGAACAACATTCGAGGAAAAAAAATAATTGCATACAGGCTGCCGTTAAACATGTGAACTCGTCTTAAGTCTCATAATATTAAAAACTTGTGCTATTTACGCCTATGCAACCGCATGAAACTACAATCCTAGAATCGAATATTTTATGTAAAGGCATACTGCAAGAGACACCATACAAAAAGACCCCACCTCAGCCACTTTAATTAAAACAAGCACACGTCATTAAACAATAAAGAAGGCACTAGCCGTTGTGTAGTCTTCGCAGTGTGAGGGCCGATGCGTTAGGTGTGACACTGGCTTGCAACTGCCTCCATAACTAGAATATTTCACACGGGATTTCATTGAATGAATAAACTTGGCAAATGCAGTGTTATCTCCTTTGGTGCATCATTAGATTTAGATTCCGTGGCGTTTCAAAGTTCAAGGGGTCAACAACCGTAGAGTAGTCATGCTCGTCTTGATTTAGGGGGCGACACTTTCCAGCACTGACGCCACCGTTTTTTTTCTTCTTCTTCTTTTCAACCTCAGAAAACCAGTGCAACGTCAGTAGGCCTAGATGTCGTAGATTATCAGATGAGATGCCATCTGCTATAAACGAGGTCTAGTAACAAAAGGATTTCAGACAAATTATTTTAATAAAAAGTGAGGACTCAGAATGCAAAGTTATATTTAATAGCACTAGCTGATTATCATTATGAATTTATGATGCTTGTTTTAAACATTTTTGTCGTTCCAGGCTAAAAGATGAGCGAGAGAACTATCAAATACAAAGATTTAACCAGGCCAGGCGAGGCAGTGTCCCTGCTATTGGCTGATGGAGCTACGGTCGGTGAGGTCAAATATCAAATCAAAACCCACACTGGCATTCCCCAAGGACAACAGACATTATTTTACAGACAAAACGTAAATATGTTTGATATTACTACTTAAGAAGATTAATGTATTATATATTAATGAAAAATATCGATATAGCGCAGAAAAGGCGTCACGGTCGGGCAGTTGCCTACGTGGTCACTTTCCATCAATACATCATTCTTTTCCAGAATGCTATACGGTGTGGCAGATAATCTGTCTACATGTAGCTTTGTAGTAATGATATTGTAACAATATTTTTCTTACATTCGTTTATTCACAGTTTACTGAAAAGAGTGGATTACAGTTTCTTCTATTAATTAATTAATTTATTTATTTATTCAAATAATTTCACTTAAACTTTCATTTTTACAATCTAGGTTCTAAGAGACGAAGACACACTGTATGACTTGAGCATTCCAGACAACGCAACATTGAAACTGCTTCCGCGTGAAAGTATCAAAGTCAACGTCCAAACCAAACAAGGTCGGGCTGCATCCTTCCGGGTGAGATTGTCTGACACTGTGTCTTCCGTGAAAATGAGAATACAGCAGGAAGCAAATGTATTTCTGGGAGACCGGCATCTCTCGTATGCAGGAAGGGAGATGGCTGACGATCTCGCCCTGTCTGCTTATGGACTTAAAAGCGGCTCAATCCTGACGTTTGATGAAGAAAAAACAGAATGTTATTTAGAATTAGGTATGATTTTCGACTGTACTAAGCAAAGATCTTTTTTTTAACTTCGCTTCACTGATTTCATTCTGTGCTTTACATTAAAATGGTATTCGATTAACTCGAGTTTCATAAAAAGTCTAAATAACAAAAAACTCATTATTTAAAATATATAAAAAGCTCGATTTTGGTGGTCACACTAAGTATTTTTCTCATCATCAGCCAACGGAAACCCAGGCGAGGACAGTGGTATTTTAGATTCATCCTCAGTGGAATCAGACAGACAATACAGTGAGACAGGTAACAGAATCTTCTGCATCTAACAATGTTCTTCTTCGATCATTACGTAATTTTTTTTTTTTTAGAAATATATACGAATATTCCTGTCGTGATTTGAAAACCTTCATATATAATATGGATGTCCTTTACGTGGACAGTATTGATGAGAATTTCGATTGTATGAAAAATTATTATTATTATATCGTATTCAATTTCTAGTGACACAGTTACAAAATGATCTCCAGCTAGTGCAAGACGAACTCCAGGCTGTTCAAAGCCAGTACCATACCCTAAACGACAAAGTGGGCGAGCAAGGGTCATATATGGAAGGTGCACTGGCAGAACTGCGGCAGTCCGCCTCGTCTCAGTTTCAGAGCGTGCTGGATGATGTGCAGGATGTGAATGGCAACCAGGAGACCCTCAAGCTAGAATGCCTGTCTCTACGGGAGAAGATTCAGGAGCAAGACATAAACGTAGCCTCTGCGACAAAAGAAATCCAAAACGCCAAGGATAAAGCAAAACGAACGCATAAATACATCAAGGAGAAAAATGCTGAGATCAAGAACGAATTTGAACAGAAAACCGCATGCATCGAGAGGAATTTGAGTGAATCGTCGGGTCAAGTAGAAGAGGTGACGGCGCGTCTGGTTCAAGTGGAGGAAAACCTGTCGCATGTTAAAGAAGTACAGGAAGTCGAGATGGAGGAGAGGCTTAAACTGCAAAAAGAACTTGAGGAATCGGAGAGTATCAGAAAGCAATTTATGCAGTCGTTTAAAGGTCACCAGACATTGGTGGACTGGGTAGATAGTAAACTGAAGGGCATTTCCGAAATGTCCGATAAGAATTTGAAAGTTGAAATTAAATCAATGCGCCAAGACTTCTCAAAGAAAACGTCCGAACTCGACCATACTGACGACGCCTTGGCGGAATCTCTGGTAAGACATAAACTGGAGTCGCAAGAAGGGGTTGATTTCGCGGATTGCTTTCAGTTGAAATACTGCAAAGATCTGAAAATGCTTTTTTTCAGAATTTGGTATACAACTACGTGTGTCACCGACGAAAGAAACAAGAAATTTAAGTCCCTGTTTTTGGCAAAATGTATCAATCCTATCTTCCTGGAATACGTGAGCCTACTCAAGGAATATACGCAACACGTTGTACAAAATACCTTCGAAGCAACAGTTGATCAGAAACAAGATTGTGTGAACTCTAATGATTTGAAAATATTGGTGACATCACTTCAAAACATCTCTGAAGGCAAAGCCGTTGATAATAAAGTCGATGCGCATCTTGCTGTATGTCGTCTGCGCAAGACACTAGGAAGAAAAACAAAGCTCGGACAAAAGAATGGAAATGACATCAAAACACGGGAAGATTTATGCAAACGTCTCGAAGCCATTTTGACGGACGTTTGTCCATTGGAAGAGGAAGAGTACTACAAATTTCATCAACAGGGGGGAACCAAAAACGTCCGTCCGTTTGAAGAAAGTAAACCGACCATGTCATGCTATGTCCATGCCCTTCTACATAAAGTCCTCGCTCGGTCCGATGCTCTTCCTTTGGACGTGAAAGCCCCAATGGAGCTGGAGGTGGACGTCTCTGGGAGAGTTCGGGAGGGGACGGAAGAACACGAGAGAATTTTCACTTGTGGAGAATTCAAGGCGAGGATCAAAGGAAATGGAGCCAAGGCAAAAGAACAGACAACGAACTATGTGAAGATCGTAGCTTTTATTTGTAATTGTCTGAAGCTTCGCTTGGTGAAAGCCAAGTGTATGTTATATTATTTGTTTGGGAGAGAGGCCGTTACTGAAAAGCCTGTTCATGAACAATTATTGTATACTTTCGACCAGAAAAGTCGGCAGATTTGTTTTGTAGATGAAAGTGAGAACCATGAACGTGGGGATGCAGTTGAGAAGCACGCTATTCGTGTGGTGTATGAAAAAATGAAAATGGAGTAACTTCTTGACCTGTGGCCTGTTGCTGGTTTTGCGTGGTTTCCTTAATGTAGGGCATTTTAGTAAACCGGTAACAACTGCCGAATGTTTGCTATGTGTGTGTGTTTTTCAGATATTCTAAAGCTAATTCTTGTTCACATCAAGCGCTTCTCATTATGAAACAAAATCTTTAATTAAAGTCTTTAATTTTTCTGTGGAATATGTTTTTGTCATTTTCATATATTTGAATATCATTTTTTTGTAAAAGAACAATGTGAAAACATTCATGTTAATAAGTTATTTGGGTTATTGTTAGATTTTATATTTTTACATATTTACCAATTCATGTTTTTGAGTGTATCACTAAACTTGAAATAATCTTTTTATTTAAGTACATACTCCATTTCTCAGCGATTTTCATATAAAATAAAGGATCATTGACATGATTGTTGACACAAATCATTCTGGAAGCTGTTTTTATAGTCTGACACGCATTTATTTGCTGGACGTAAAATTATAACGAAGATGTCACTGATGGATCTTGACTAGTCAAACCATGTGGTAGATGACTTGTTTCGAAAAGCATATTACGCCTTGTAGAAATAATGACAATACTTCCAACCTAAGAGAAAATCAAGGAATGTTTGTGGCCGTCTGGTTTCAGAAAATCAAATTGACTTATAAACCTCCCTTTTCAAACGAAGTCCATAGCCAGTTGTAATCGTTGTTTTCCCGTTGTTACACCCTGGGACAACTGGAGGTGTGAACGCAGCTGATTCCTTACGTTCAACTACCGTGTTCGTTGTAAGATTTTATCTCACGTTTGATTAGCTTTCATTTCTAAACGCCTTATTTCATCTTGGAACGTGTAACCCCCAACTGGCCATGCTGAAACATTCTTCGGCTGTTCTTTTTTTTTTAAGCCACGTGGCACCTGGATATGGGTCTATGGAGACAAGCTTATAATAGGGGGATGAAATTTTAAAATTTGTAAATGTAATGTACAGATGAGGCTACTTGTTGCTCTTTAAATCTGATATTCTTGATGCTAAGGCCTTGCAATTTTGATTTTGAAATAAAAGAATAAAACATCTTATAAGCTGCTAAAAACTATATATATATACATAAGCGTAGAGCACCCAATTGATTAATCTGTCAGATTTTCATAGTCATGTATAATGTCATGAATGTGTCAGTTGTAACAGAAACGGGATCTGAATCCGCTTTCAGCTAAACACTTAACCATGCCCGATTTATTAAATCTTCCCTCCTTCAAATGTTTTTGCTGATTAGACGACAGCGCTCTCAAATATACCTGCTAAGAAATATTGCAAGACATCTCACAATTTTTAAAAAGTCACTAAAACGTCAGCCGCGTTTGAACCTATATGTATGGTCATTCACATAGTGGTTACTCCAGAAACAGCGTCAGCTCTTATTGGCGTTAATTCTTTCTTATTATTTTTCAGGGTACATACATGCTTGGACATAATAACATTATGTCCAAGCTACATGTAACCATACATACATACAAGTACCCAGTGCACACAAAAAGAGTTTCTGGTTAGGGATAACCCGCCAGATGGGTGTCTTTTTAGTGAATAAACCAAAACGGCGTGTCTCGGTAAAAGCATGCAAAAAATACACAAAAATAGACACAGTTTGACGTTCGCATTAGGTTTTCTATGGAAATGGTATTTCCCATTTTATGTTATTGAAGTCTCTTAATGCTCGTGAATACCATAATAGTTGGCAATTGTGTTGCAAATTAACAGCTTATGTATAAATTTCAATATATTGTGCAGGGGAATTTTGTTTCTCTTCCAGATTTCTACTAAAGCTATAAAAGAGGAGGATGGAGACGAAAAAAGATGTCTTCTGATAAAGCAGTATTAATATGAAATGTTTTACGCAGCAGCATGAGGTTAAGATCGAGGTTATTTACAAGTTCTTGAAATTATCTTCATTTTTGGACTAGAAAAGAGGCAAATTACAATTGTAGGCGAACCTTAAGGAGATGATGGTTGATTGTACAGTTGTAATAACTGGCCAGTCATTTTAAACTTAATCACCTTTAGAAATTTATTTTAGGTGGGGTAGATAAACGATTCATGAGCACGAAAAAATTGTTTAAATCCACCATTTTGGGGGTAAGCTTATGTAGTTACCTTTTTATTTGTGATAAATTTATCTTTAGGAAATCATGAAGTTAAACCGTCCTAAATAATTGAAATTGTCAGGTCAGAAAACTTGAAAACAGTTGCGGCTGCCAATTCCCGCCAAAACATAAGAATGACAAAAGACGGGGTATTCCTTTATCGAATTCTCGAATAAAAGGAACCTTGACACAAAGGAGCAAAAAAGAAAGCAAGTGGTTGCATCAGCCTCTTGGGTAAAGATACTTAGGCCACCCTATGTCATCAAAAAGCCCTCTAAGCAAGACACAGAAAACCTGTCTGTAGTGTCTACATTGCAGCGATTTATTTGTAGAAGATTGAAGAAGTTTTGAAGAAGATTTTAGAAGACTGGGCCAATCTTTTCACAGGTAAACAGTAATACTAGGACTTGGTTCAACCTATTTTCTTTATACAAATGGCGGCCTAGGTTTAGGTGTAGTTGGTGCAATCAGAGTACACACAATAAGACATTTATAAATGTAATATATTGAAGGCAATATATGGCTGAAAAGTGAGACATATTCTGTCACCAGTACACGTGGGTCAATGTGTTGTTCTGCTCGAATGTGCAGAACCACACCACCACCGTTGACCTCAATAAGGATATAGGAAACCCTTTATTATCATCAAAGTACATATAATAAGGTTTTTCTGCCTATCATTGTTTAATTTTCTATTTACAATTCGGCTGACTAAAAAGCAATAAAAATCCCCTTGAAAATATAAGATTTAGGCGTTTATATCCACCATTGCTAACCGCAACAAATAATGCCAGTTGACCCCGCCCTAGTTCTTTTGGGATGGGCGCAGCTACTTTGTGTCACGTGATACGCAGACACCTGAAAGATGCAGTCACGAGCGATGCCTTTCATAAATCTTACGGGTGTAAGCAGTAAACCAAAAATGAAAATCTCACATAACATACATAGGGCCTATACCTGAAGTCGACGAGAAAAAAGTTGGACATACGGCCCACTATTGTTTATTCTTCAGTCTTATTAATATTAGTTCCTTTGTGGCGCAATGAGATTTCCTCAAACATCCCTGGGTAGCAGAATTTTTGTAGTTTATTATTGAAAATAAAAAAGGACAAAAATACAGCTATTATTATCCTCTACAAAATGTGTAAAGTAAACCAGTCGACATTGTCTGCCTTCTCTCTCTCTCTCTCTCTCTCTCTCTCTGTATAACGCAATTTTGAAAGATTACTAGCGATAGTATGCTAATGCATCTCAGAATAGATTTAAAAGTATTGAGGCACTGCTACAGACAACATACATGCATATCTTATGGTTTGATTCATTTGTTATTTGATGATATTTATTCGGCTTCTGCACAAAAAAATAATGGGAAGCACTTGCACTTATTGACGAAGGGCAAATCCAGCTGAATCTCTACCCAGGTGTAGAAAAATGTTCGTTGATTATAACCTCTCTTTCACAGGTCTCTTTGGATATGTATGATAAAATCGTGCAATACTGTCCTGGAGGTAAAAGTTTGCATGTTTTTGACACCCCGTTCGTTAGAAATACTGTAAGAAGAAAACTTTCCGTGTGTCAGAATACCCAGCCTGTCATGAGAAAAAGATGTGAAACCTAATTTTACATATCATATATCCCACCCATTCCATCATTTTATTAGTCGTACATGGTGTTGTACTAATCTCCAGGACGTGTACCTTTTGGATAGGTCTGCTAATAATACCCTTGGCAGTCTTTATTTCCAGTGCTCTCACTTGTCCATCTTTCCCAGGGAATAATCTGGTAACTAAACCTAAAGGCCACTGTAAACGAGGACTAGCATCACCCATTAAAACCAATGAACCTACATCGACACCGCCTTTGCAAGAAGATTCCCTATATACTTAGCAGACCACTGATTCCAAAAGTCTGCCCACTACAAATGTGATGGGGTTAAAGGTCTACTCTCCTCCAATACATCACTAACAAAGGTGAGGGGTCTGGAGTTAATACATGCCTCCACTTCTAAGAGAATTGTTTTTAATTCACTGTGAGTCACTGACTTTCTCCCAATTGCCTTACTAAGGCAGATTTGACTGATTAAATCAATCGCTTCCAACAACCTTCCCACCATGGGACTCAAGGAACAATAAACCTCCACTCAGGATTTTCAGACACATAATACTTCACCAGTAGATTCTTAGCAGCTACAAAGCCACGGGCATTATCTGACATGATTTTCAGTTTGACTGCTACACTGTTTTGTCTTAGTAGTATGAGTTTTACCCTTTTAGAAGCTACGTGATTAGTCATATTTGAAACACAAGTTGTATCACTCTGGATTGTATCTGGGGAAACAGAACCAACATGGTTTGCTTCATGAGAAACACTACTTTCATCACATACTTATCCACTATCAGAGGCATGAAAAAAATCTCTAGACATAGAATGTTTGCACAGTAACTTAAAATGTGGACCTCCACATTTCTGACACTTAATATCAGACCTACAGACCTACCTATGGTGGACGTTTTGCGTTTTGCCCCGTGTCCGCCTGGGCATTTTGCCCAAAAGTGCCACTGTGTATATATTTGTAAAATTTGGCACGAAAGGTGTCAGACACCATCGACCCTTGTGTCGAGTTCTAATATCATCCTACCTGTCACCAACAAAGTTTTTAAAATTCGTTCATTTGGTATGAATAACTGTAAACAGTGCAATTTATATGAGCATGTTTTTGATAAGATTAAGATGTCATCTGATATAGAATAAATCCTCGTAATTTCAGAAGGATTTTGAGGCAAATAACGTTAATAAAAAGCAGACTCGGAATGTAAAGTTATAGTTTATAGCATTCATTGTGATTGTTGTTTTACGCATTTTTCATCGTTCCAGGCTAAAAGATGAGCGATATAACTATCAAATATAAAGATTTAACCAGGCAAGACCACGCAGTGTCCCTGCAATTGTCTGACAGAGCTACGGTCGGTGAGGTCAAAAATGAAATCGAAACCATCACTGGCATTCCCCCAGGACAACAGACATTATTTCACGGACAAAAAGTAAATATGTTTGATATTACTACTAAAGAAGATATATGCATTATACTTTATACTAATGACGAAATATCGATAAAGAGCAGAAAAGGCGTCACGGTCGGGTAGTTGCCAACGTGTAGTGATTACTTTCTATCAATACATCACTCTGTCCTAGAATTCCAGAGTTCCATTCTACCTGTAGCTTTGTGTTAATACAACTGAAACAATATTTTTTCTTACATTCGTTTATGCACAATTTACTGAAAAGAGCGGATTACAGTATGCTGTATTTATTTATTTAAATACTTGCACTTACACATGCATTTTACAATCTAGGTTCTAAGAGACGAGGACACACTGTGTGACTTGAGCATTCTTGACAATGCAACATTGAAACTGCTTCCTCGTGAAAGTATCAAAGTCAACGTCCAAACCATACAAGGATGGGCTACATCCTTCCGAGTGAGATTGTCTGACACTGTGTCCTCCTTGAAAATGAGAATACAGCAAGAAGCAAATATATTTCTTGGAGACTGGCCTCTCTCGTATGCAGGAATGAAGATGGCTGACGATCTCGCCCTGTCTGATTATGGGATCATAAGCGGCACAGTCCTGACGTTTGACGAAGAAAAAAAAGAATTATGTACGTTTTTCGACTGTATTAAGCAAAGGTCTTCTCTTTTTATGTACAGACACAGATGTGTCTGTACATATTGCCATCACCTGCGTCTGTCGTCGCCGTCGCCGTCGTCGCCGTGCACCTTCCTTGTAAACACGATAAGTGGAAGACAGTTTTACTTTTTGGCTTTATATTTACAGAGCTGATGAATATTNTTCACCAGTAGATTCTTAGCAGCTACAAAGCCACGGGCATTATCTGACATGATTTTCAGTTTGACTGCTACACTGTTTTGTCTTAGTAGTATGAGTTTTACCCTTTTAGAAGCTACGTGATTAGTCATATTTGAAACACAAGTTGTATCACTCTGGATTGTATCTGGGGAAACAGAACCAACATGGTTTGCTTCATGAGTAACACTACTTTCATCACATACTTCTCCACTATCAGAGGCATGAAAAAAATCTCTAGACATAGAATGTTTGCACAGTAACTTAAAATGTGGACCTCCACATTTCTGACACTTAATATCAGACCTACAGACCTACCTATGGTGGACGTTTTGCGTTTTGCCCCGTGTCCGCCTGGGCATTTTGCCCAAAAGTGCCACTGTGTATATATTTGTAAAATTTGGCACGAAAGGTGTCAGACACCATCGACCCTTGTGTCGAGTTCTAATATCGTCCTACCTGTCACCAACAAAGTTTTTAAAATTCGTGCATTTGGTATGAATAACTGTAAACAGTGCAATTTATATGAGCATGTTTTGATAAGATTAAGATGTCATCTGATATAGAATAAATCCTCGTAATTTCAGAAGGATTTTGAGGCAAATAACGTTAATAAAAAGCAAAGACTCGGAATGTAAAGTTATAGTTTATAGCATTCATTGTGATTGTTGTTTTACGCATTTTTCATCGTTCCAGGCTAAAAGATGAGCGATATAACTATCAAATATAAAGATTTAACCAGGCAAGACCAGGCAGTGTCCCTGCGATTGTCTGACAGAGCTACGGTCGGTGAGGTCAAAAATGAAATAGAAACCATCACTGGCATTCCCCGAGGACAACAGACATTATTTCACGGACAAAAAGTAAATATGTTTGATATTACTACTAAAGAAGATATATGCATTATACTTTATACTAATGAAGAAATATCGATAAAGAACAGAAAAGGCGTCACGGTCGGGTAGTTGCCAACGTGTAGTGATTACTTTCTATCAATACATCACTCTGTCCTAGAATTCCAGAGTTCCATTCTACCTGTAGCTTTGTGGTAATACAACTGAAACAATATTTTTTCTTACATTCGTTTATTCACAATTTACTGAAAAGAGCGGATTACAGCATGCTGTATTTATTTATTTAAATACTTGCACTTACACATGCATTTTACAATCTAGGTTCTAAGAGACGCGGACACACTGTGTGACTTGAGCAATCCAGACAATGCAACATTAAAGCTGCTTCCGCGTGAAAGTATTACAGTCAACGTCCAAAACAAACAAGGGCGGACTGCTTCCTTCCGGGTGAGATTGTCTGACACTGTGTCTTCCGTGAAAATGAGAATACAGCAGGAAGCAAATTTATTTCTTGGAGACCGGCATCTCTCGTATGCAGGAAGGGAGATGGCTGACGACCTCGCCCTGTCTGCTTATGGACTCAAAAGCGGCTCAATCCTGACGTTTGATGAAGAAAAAACAGAATGTTATTCAGAATTTGGTATGGTTTTCGACTGCATGTATTAAGCAAAATTTTTCTCCAAGTTCATTCTATGGTAGCCATTAAAATGGTATTCGAGTGAGTCAAGTTAAATAAAAAGTCTTAATAACATTATTTAAAATATATCAATAGCTTCATACAGTCGATTTTATTGGTTTCACTAACATTTTTTTTTTCATCATCAGCCGACGGAGACCTAAGTGAGGACAGTGGTATTTTAGATTCATCCCCAGTGGAATCAGACAGACAATACAGTGAGACAGGTAACAGAAACTTCTGCACCCAGCAATGTTCTTCTCTGATCATTATTTTTTGTTTTAGAAAAATATCCGTACATTCCAATCGTGATTTAAAAAACCTTAAATAATATGGCTGTTACGTGGACAATATTGATAAAAATTTCGATTGTATGAAAAATTATTATTATTATTATTATTGTATCGTATTCAATTTCTAGAGCTGCAGTTACAAAATTATCTCCAACTAGTGCAAGACGAACTCCAGACTGTGACGGCGCGTGTGGCTCAACTTGAGGAAAACCTGTCGCAAGTTAAAAAAGTACAAGAAGGCGAGAAGGAGGAGAGACTTAAACTACAAAAAGAACTTGAGGAATCGGAGAGTATTAGAAAGCAATTTATGCAGTCGTTTAAAGTTCACCAGACATTGGTGGACTGGGTAGATAGTAAACTGAAGGGCATTTCCGAAATGTCCGATAAGAATTTGAAAGTTGAAATTAAATCAATTCGCCAAGACTTCACAAAGAAAATGTCCGAACTCGCCCATACTGACAACGCCTTAGCGGAATCTCTGGTAAGAAATAAACTGGAGTCGCAAAAAGGAGATGAATTCGCGAGTTGCTTTCATTTGAAGGAATGCAAAGATTTGAAAATGCTGTGTAGCAGAATTTTGCTTAAAGCTACATATACTACTGTCACGGACAAAGAAAACGAGAAATTTAATTCCCTGTTGGAGCACTATATCCATCCTATCTTCTTGAAATACGTGAAACTTGTCAATAAGTATATGCAACACGTTGTACAGAATACCTTCGAAGCGACAGCTGATCAAAGACGAGATTGTTTTAATTCTAATGATTTGAAAGTATTGGTGACATTACTTGAAAGTAATTTTCTAAAGACAGCTGTTGGTAATAAACTTGATGCGCATCTTGCTGTATGTCGTTTGCGCAATACACTGGAGAGAAAATCAAAGCTTGGACGAAAAAAGGGAAATGATAAAACAACAGAAGATTTATGCAAACGTCTCGACGCTATTTTGGCGTATGTTTGTCCATTGAAAGAGGAAGAGTACCACCAATTTCATCGAGAGAGAGGAACCGAAAACATCCCTCCGTTTAAAAAAATTAATCCGACAAGGTCATGCTATGTCCATGCCCTTCTACATGAAGTCCTCGCGCGGCCTGATGCTCTTCATTTGGACGTGAGAGCCCCAATGGAGCTGGAGGTAGACATCTCTGGGGACGTTTGGGAGGGGACGGAAGAACACGAGAGAATTTTCACTTGTGGAGAATTCAAGGCGAGGATCAAAGGAAATGGAGCCAAGGCAAAAGAACAGACAACGAACTATGTGAAGATCGTAGCTTTTATTTGTAATTGTCTGGACCTTCGCCTGGTGAAAGCCAAGTGTATGTTATATTATTTGTTTGGGAGAGAGGCAGTTACTGAAAAGCCTGTTCACGAACAATTATTGTATACTTTCGACCAGAAAAGTCGACATATTTGTTTTGTAGATGAGAGAGAGAACCATGAAGGTGGGGATGCAGTTGAGAAGCACGCTATTTGTGTGGTGTATGAAAAAATTAAAATGTAATAATTTTGACCTGTGGCCTGTTGCTGGTTATGCATGATTTCAAAAAATTATTACATATCAATTAATCGGTATCAACTGAGAAATGTTAGCTATGCGTATGCTCTTTTCAGATATTCACAGCTAGTTCTTATTCTCATCAAGCGCTTCTCATTATGACACGAAATGGATGTCTGTGAAATATGCTTTTGTCATTCTCATACCATTTAATATCATTTTTGTAAATAAAAACTGAAAACATCATGTTAACAAGTTATTTAGGTTTTTGTCAGATTTTATATTTTACATTATTTGCCAATTCATGTTTTTGAGTCTTTCACTTAACGAAAAATGATCATTTACTCAATTGATTTTCGTAAAAAATAAAGGATCATTGACATGATTTTGAGACAAATTATTCTGTAAGCTCTTTTTTATATTATAACGAAGACGTCACTGATGCATCACGTACTAGTTAGTCAAACCATGTGGTAGCTGATTTGTTTCGAAAAGCATAACACTTTGTAGAAATAATGACAATACTGCCAGCCTGAGAGAAATCAAAGAAATGTGTGTGGCATAAGATTTCCCTTTTTTTTACGAAGTCCATAGCCAGTAGTAATCATTCTGTTTTCCATGAGCCGCATTGCACCCTGGGACAACTGGACGTGTAAACGCGACAGATCCCTTGCTCAGGTTCTACTTCTTTGTAAGATTGCATCTCACGTTTGATTAGTTTTCCTTTCTAAACGCCTTATTTCATCTTGGAATATGTAACCCCCAACTGGCCATACTGTGGCAGTCCTCGGCTGTTCTTTTTGTAAGCCACGTGGCACCTGGATATGGGTCTGTGTGGACAAGCTTATAATTGTGGGATTAAATTTTAAAATTCGGACACAATAATTAGATAATGTACAGTGAGGCTTCTTGTAGCTTTTTAAATCTGATACTATTTATGCGAAGGTTTTGCAATTAGAATAAAGCGTCTCAAAAAGCGCCAATGCAAGAAAGCTGTTCATAACTATACATTAGCGTGGAATAGCCAATTGGATCATCTGTCATAGGTGCATAGGACTCATGAATGTGTTAGTTGTACTGGAAACAAGATCTACATCTACCTTTAGCTAAAACACCCATCAACTCCCTTTACATTGCATTTTCCCCTTTAAACAATTTTTGACATTGTTATATTTTGTTGAATGAACGACAAAGCTTTCAAGCGTTGGATTTGAAGGAATAGTCATATTAAATGGTAATGGTGCGTAAGGAAATATCCTTAGCTGTCTGACTATTCGAAACGTTAATAAAACGTCAGCCGTGCTTGAACCTGTGTTCATACCACATAGTGGTTTGTGGAGAAACACAAATTCAGCCCTTAGGCGTTTGTCCGTTCTTTAAAAAATGTACACACTACGTACCCTTTACATAACCAGTGCACACAAAAAGAGCTGCTGGTTCGGGAGCCGCCCGTAGCAGATAACTCGCTAGGAGGGTGACTTCCTAGTGAATAAACCAAAACGGTGTGTCTCATAAACAGTATGCACAAAAAAAGAAAAAAAAATCGCGCGCACACACAGTTTGACTTACGCAATGCAGGGGAGAAAAAGCTGGTGCTCTGACAGCAAAGAGCGTTTCCGGTCAACAAGCGAACTTCATCGGCTGGGACAAGCCAATGACAGAAAATTAGTAGTAATTTTATACGAAGATTTTCATCCTTATTGCTAAGTTACAAGGATCAGGTCCGGACAATAAAAAAACCTGTGGCGGGAATAGCTTATTTGCAAAAATTCGGAAGAAGACGAAGAAAACGAAAAGGAGAAGAAGATTAAGGTAGATAGATACATTAAAAGTACAAAATTGGTCAAAGTAGCATTTTCCCCATTTCTATTATATAAAATACTTAACTTGATATTAATGCAATAAAATTAATCACGTTTAGAGAAAAAAACTTTTTTGGTCTTTTATTTTACAGCCCACGCACTTCTGCATGCTTAAAAGCTTTGCACCCGTTTCTGGTCAATTTAAGTGTTTCGAAAATTGATTAAAAATAGTGATGGGGTTGCGTCGTAACTCCGCGACTAATGTAGGCATCATCATAAATATTAATACGGTTGACGACAAAGATGTGATCTGCAAGTCGTTGAATTGCCAGCGTTTGCTGTTGGATTTTATTGTTTGTGAGATATGAACCTCTCATTGCCGGTTCGATGTTCCATCAAACAAAGGCATTATGTCACCTCTTTACAAATAAAATCAGAATTAAAATTTTTTTGGTGTATTGGTCGGGGAATTATTTAAAAACCAAAGTGGCGAACAACGCCGTGTTTTTTTCCCTTTCTATGTCATGTCGCTGTCATGTTGCTGTCTCATGTTGACTTATCTTTATTAATTTAAGCATTTCAAAAATCCTGAAATCTAGTTTAACAAGGAAGGAAATTTTTTCATGTACCTCGGGGTCACAATGGGGGTATGTATAAAACCCTGGAGGAAATGGCGACTTTTATCCTACTTGCCATTAGTCAGTTTGACGTGAATTGGGCACATATTTGGGATCGGTATATTATAAAGATAAGCGTCACGACACAGCTGTCACTACGGGAGAGATTGACAGGCGTTGCTTTTTACTCTGTAATCGTTATTTATCATTCCAGTGTCACAAATTTCAAAGATACATACTAAAACAAACGTTATGATTTATGTTATTCTTGTAAATAGGTACGATGTCCGCATAACAAAGAGCCATTGCACCGATCTCACAATACAGAGGACAGCTTACAAGGTAAGTGGAAAAACATCTTCATACAAATTAAGTAAGATATATTGTTCTACAGCATTTGGTTGATAATGGTAATTTGTAAAACAAGGAGGTTACGGCTTTCATCACTAGAAACAATGCGTATAGATTAGGTGTTTCTAGTAAAGAAATAAAGACCTATTTCGATTTTGTACAAACATTGGTCGTAACTCCTTAATGTAAACTGTTGAGCATTAAAGCGTTACAAAACATAGCATCACCTGAGCGTGTGATTGTGACTGCGTGCGGGAATGTGAGCATAAAACGGATTGTCTTTGGTGACATGTCGGGGTATTTGCCTGCTACATGTAGATATATTTTATGCAGAAATAAAATCATTACAAGAGATGGAAATAACCCTTCGTTGCTCCTAGATTGAATACATTGAACATGCCAGTGCTGCTTGTTCCACAGCCTCATACTTTCTTTAAAACGTGCCTGTCGCTGTGTTTATAAATGTTTGACGAAGAGCTTTGTCTTGTGCAGCTGCTGCACTAGTAGTATGATGGAAGAAATCCATAAATAACTGCATACAACGCAGCCGTTGTATAGGGTGACGTAATCTAGTCACATGCCTTTGGTGTCAATCCTTTGTACACGAAACAAATGTGTTTTTTTTTTCAGTAATTCAATCTTACCGCGTCAACTCTCTCGAGAAACAAAAATAAATTCACGTGTTAGACATGTTTGTAAAATTAATAAGATGGCTAAAACAATGAAGAATAAGCTTGCAAATATAGATGTAGATTGCATCAGTTAGAAAAATGACAAAGGTTAACGTAGAGATCGGCTAAACTGTTTTAAGGTTTCTAAGGACTTGCATACCTATTGCAATTCTCTTTCTAATTTCAGAAAACAAGTCTCGAATGGCAATTTGATATTTTGCTTGAGACAGACAGTGCTGAAAACAACCCACGAGAGTTCAAAATTTGATTTGAACTGAATAACCCATAGATGACGTCCTGGAAAAAGCGGACCTCTCTCATTGCCGCCCTGAATTTGTTCCTTCTAACTTGTCTTATCGCTGCTTGGCAAACTATAGACAGCGAGTTAGGAGACCAAAATGAAGTCGATATAGGGCCTGTAACAATAGCAGACATCGAAAACGAGACGAATTCGCCACCATACTATGAAGCGGAGCTGAAAAACATCCGTTCTCTAAATGGCTCGTTCATCCCGGTTCCCTGGCATTTCTGTGATGTTTCTTATCCATCCGACGAGTCGGTTAACGTCTCGTGTGAAATTCCTGCAAACGATTATCTATCTTTGAAAAAATATCAAAGTTGGATTGAATTAGTTAACAGAACAAACCGACTCAAGGTAAAATGTGACAGTGGCGGGAATATATCAGCACCATGGCCAATGAAAGTGTCTGGTCTTCAATCTTTGGAAATTGAAGGATGCAACGTGAAAGATTATATCCGCCACCAAGCATTCGGTGACTACTACTCATATACAGGCCCAGATGTTCTAAAAGTTTTAAAAATCTTCAATTCAGTTCTGTACTCAGACTTCCTAAGTCTTAATCAAACATTTTACAGAAAAAGCGGGAGCAGAGACACTGAATGCGGTTCCCTTGAACTACGAGAATTGCGCATGCGTGACATTACCATTGGTTTTGAGCAAGCGTTGAAGATACCATTCCAATTACATGGAAACAAAGCAACAGATAATTCAACTTTTAAACCAATAGAACAATATGAGAAACCCAAACTCGACGGACCATTTCCACAGCCTCAAATGTGGTGCTCACATAATCATATGGGGATATTGGAATTCTCAAACTATGCTTTTTTCAGGGTACTCATAAAGATGCTGATACGGGGTCACGGGTATCCTGCGCTTCATACATTCATTGCTGACAGAAACAACATAACGGTCTTTCCATACGCATTATTTGCAACAATAATATATTTTCCAAAGCTACGATATGTGGACCTTCGTTACAACAATATAACTGAGCTGAAAATACCGCCAGGATCTAAGCGCAAATTTGATTTACGACACAACAGCATTCAAGATATTACAACAAGAAACATCGAGTCAATGCTGGAACCGTATGTGGCAGATGTGGATTTTCGGAACAACCCAATTAATTGCGGATGTAAAAATTTCGAAGTGGTTAAATATGTAAGAACAAAAACTGTCCTAAATAAACTAAAGAATTCAACATTCCGCTACCTGTTCGACATGCCCTGCAATCATGGCACGATCACAACAACGTTTCAATCTGTCAGTTTGGATGATTTTGATGACTGTTTTATTATTCGTCACAGAAGCAGTGTTCCTTGGGTGGTTTTAGGGTTATTGACTTGTTTTGGGGTGTTGACAACCATGTTTGCCGTATATTTTAGACGAGAAATTCATATTCTTTTGGAGACGAGGTCAAAGTGCGGGTGCTGTGGGCCTAAGTCTCGTTCGACTGAACGCCGCAATTCCAACACCTCTTGCAACGTCGAGGACGAAAGTACATCTGCCCGGGAGTTAGAGATTCAAAAGCGGAATATGTATCATACTAGTACACTCTAGTGCGTTTCTAGGAGATGTCCAGCAGCGTAGGTTAAAACATGAAAGCAACCATGGGGAATTCAGGGCAGGAATAAGGCAAATGGAAAAGAAAG